CTCTAATGAAGATTTATAATGAAAAGGAGCAAGCTGAACAGGGTAAATGACAACATGTACAATTTGAGGAGAAAAGGGTCAGCAGGAAGTGGAATGGAACTAAGTCCTGTGTTCAAGGAGATAAACAGATTGAGAAATGGAATAAAGGAAGTGGTGACCCTAGGACAGGATCCCACCCAGCTAAGTTTCCAACTTATGAAAGGAATTAAAGAAACACTTAGAATTAATTAAACACCGTGTGTGATGCCTTTAATAACACTCAGAAGTCAAAGGCTGGTGGATCTCTGAGTTTGAAGCCAACATGGTCTACAGAGCAAGTTCCAGGACAGCCAAGCTTAAGCGGTGAAGGAAACAATGGAAAACAGAAAGGTTACGAAGATGTAATTAAACAACAGGGGCGTGTTTCAGCCTCAGCAGCAAGCAGCAGAACTTGGCAGCTTCAGCCACGTGGATCTGGCTTTAAGGATAGAAGAAAAGGGTTATGGAATATTCCTTGGCAACTGAAGGAAGGCCTTTGGGGCCAGGCACGTGTCAGGGGTGTGCCTGAATGCAGGCCCAGAGAGGCCACTGTGTGAAGCTGTGAAGGAGAAGCCTGGATTCATTGCCTTGGAGACCCCAAGATGTTAGAGATGCCAGAGTCATAGGATACCTGCCAAAGAGAGCTGCCAACAGGGAATGGAACCAGCCCAAGAAAAAGAAGTGTATGGCAGTCAACAGAGCTGAGAGGAGCTGGAGATCTGAGGAGCATTTTGACATCTGACATGGAGATGCAGTCTGGAGTTTGTCCAGCTGGCAGTCAACAGAGCTGAGAGGAGCTGGAGATCTGAGGAGCATTTTGACATGGAGATGAAGTCTGGAGTTTTCTGTCTTGCTTTGGTCCAGTGTTTCCTCCATATGTTCCCTTCCCTATGTTTTAGAATGGTAATTTATACCTTGTGCCATTATGTGCTGGAAGTATGTGATCTCTTTTTTTAATTTTGATTTTATAGGGGATTACATTAAGGGATTGCAAAATCTCAGCAAAGACTTTGAACTTTGGATTTTCAAACATTGTTGAGACTGTGATACTTGGGGACTTTTGAAGTTGGGTTGAAGGCATGTTTGCATTATGCTATAACTACAAGCCTTTGGGGTCAGGGAGTAGACTGTGGTGGTTTGAAAAAAATGCCCCCTAAAAGGAATGGCACTATTAGGAGGTGCAATTTTGTTGGCAGTAGGTGTGGCCTTGTTGGAAGTGAGGTCTCATATATGCTCAAGCCATGCCCAGTGTCCAGTTCACTTCCTGTTGCCTGCTGACCAAAATGTAGGGCTCTCAGCTCCAGCACTGTGTCTGTTTGCACATGTCTGCCATGACCCCCCATGAGGATAATGGACTGAACCTCTGAACTGTAATCGAGTCACCCCATTAAATGTTTCCTTTCTAAGAGTTGCCATGGTTGTAATGTCTCTTCACAGCAGTAGAAACCCCAGACACCTTCTTTTACTCTAAGTTTCTCTGGCACCAAAGAGATGTGGCCTGCCTCCTCAGATCCCTTAATTATTATTTGTGGAGGGTTAGTTTGCAAGTCACTGTACTCTTTCAGACCAAAATTCCCTTAAAAATAAATATTTATATTTATTTTATGTGTTTGAGTGTATTAAGTGTATATACCACAGGTGTTCCTGGTGCCTGAGGAGCCCAGAAAAGGGTGTTGGATCTCCTGGAACTGGAGTTACAAATGGTTTCGAGACACTATGTGGGTGCTGAACCTGGGACCTCTCTAAGAACAGCCAGTGCTTTTAAGGGCTGAGTCCTATGTTCCATACCCACCACCACATAAACCAGGTGTGGTGGGGCATCCTTGCAATGCCAGCACCTGGGAGGTAGAGTCAGGAGAATCATAAGTTCAAAGTCATCCAAGACTATGTAGCAAGTTCAAGGCTGATTTGTGCTGAGCTGTTTCAGATCCTGTCTTGAAAAGAAAAGATAGAAAAAACCAAAAAACAAAAACTATGTAGTCTAAGCCATATGATGGGCATGGCATAGTTTGGGGATTAGCTTCATTCAGGCATAGAAGTATCTCTATGGCAACCATCATCATAACATCAGGCCCAAGGCAGAGGTGCTGAATGAGATTGTACAGAGAGAGTGTGCAGTGTGGTGGCTTCCTGGTTTCTGATCTAGAAATCCAGAACCTTGCCTTGTGTCCACCTAGAGATAGTCTTTGTGCTGTGAGTAGGTAAGAGGACTGGCTTGCTAAGAGTAGCCACACCCCAGCCCCAGCTTGTTTTGGAGGAGGGACCATGTGATCGGCTTGCTGCTCCATCCTGCTCACGTTCCCCAAAGTGCAGAGTGTCCCTGCTCCTCGGTAAGAGCCAGGAACTCACCTTCAAGGGACACTGACCTTGGTTCCTTGGCATTTCCACTCTACTAGTTCCATGGTGGGCGGGGAGAAAACACACAGAATAATCACTATTTCTTTTTCCTTCCCAGCCCCATCCAAAGGAAGATGGCCTGCCACAGGAAAATGTCCACTCAGGCTCACTTTCCCAGCATTAATGGACACACAAGTACTTTGGTGATTTTGTTAGAATTAAATCCTAATTTAATAGATGTCATTGGCCAAACTGTAGTTCATCAAAATTCACAAGTTAAAAAATCTAATCACCAGTACCTCAGAATGTGACTAGTTTGAAAATATAGTCATTTTCTTTCCTTCCTTTCTTCCTTTCTTCCTTTCTTCCTTTCTTCCTTCCTTCCTTCCTTCCTTCCTTCCTTCCTTCCTTCCTCCCTTCCTTCCTTCTGTTGTGTCCAAATTCTGAACCCCCAAATCACCAAGAGACCCATTCCAATGCAAAAGCAAAGAGTCTTTTTTTATTATTAACAAGTTAGCTGCCTTAACTCAGGCCCTTTTGTCTGTTCATCACAGCGGGTGGGATGAGAAGGACTGGGGCGTGTATGACACCTTGTGGTGGAGAATTTATTGGGCAGAGCAAGGGGAGTATTTAGGGGTCTGCAACAGTCTCAGGATTGGTGCACTTCTGGGCTTGGGCGACATGTCCTGTGTTGATTGGTCAACTGGTTGTTATGGCCTATAGGCCCTCCTGGGGCGGTTGCTATGCTCTGCACGTCACTGTTAGGCCACTTTTACTGCAAAGCAGGCCCAGAGCATACCAGCTAACTTTTGATTGGTTCCTTGCCACGTGGAGGGTATCTGACCTCCTAGTCAGGCAAGGTCAGGAAGCTCAGCACATTTTGCTGAGTCAGGAGCCTTTTGTCTTGCTGGGTCTTTTCTGCAGCCTGTCATGGCAGCTAAAGCAGGGGGCAGAGTGAGGGTCTGGTCCCTTCCCTTCCTTCCTTCCTTAGTTTTATTTTTGTTGTTGTTGTTGTGCAGGGAATGGGTGTCTTATGTGTGCCAGACGAGCTTCAAACTCATCATGTAACTGAAGAAGCCCCTCAGCCCCTAATCCTATTTCTATCTCCAAAATACTAGGGTAGGCATTTGCCACCATGCCCAGGAACCGAACCCACAGCTTCTTTCATGCTAGGCAAGTACACTACTGACTAAGCTAAACCTCCAGCCTGAAACAGGGTCTTTATAGCAGCAATTAAGGTTATATGAGGCCATAAGCATATGGGTCTAATCCAATAAGGTCTGTATACTTTTAAGAGGACTGGAAGCTTGGTATAGCTGTACATACCTATAGAATAGCATGGGTATCAGCAAGACATGCCTTTTAAAAAATAATAAAAGGAGAGGCTGGTGAGATGGCTCTGTAGTTAAGAGCATTGGCTGGTTTTCCAGGGGACCTGGGTTCAATTCCCAGCACCCACATGGCAGTTCACAACTGTCTGTAATTCCAGTTCCAGGGAATCTGGTGCCCTTACACAGACATACATGCAGGCACAACACCACATAAAAATGAGTAATAATAATAAAAGAAAAACCAGGCCAGTGGGGCAGCTGCCAAGCCTGAAAACCTGAGTTTGATGCCCAAGATCCACACTGTGGAAGGAGAGAACTCACTTCCACAAGTAGTCCTCTGACCTCCACTTGTACATGGGACATGTCCATGAGGCCCTCAATAAATACATAACTATTTTTTAAACAAAGGGAAGAAGGGATGGGAGAGGAGAGAGAGAGAGGAGAGAGAGAGAGAGAGAGAGAGAGAGAGAGAGAGAGAGGATGAGTCAGAAGAATTAGGGATTAGGAAGAGGATGGCTAGCTGTTTATAACCTGAGCTGGGAGCTCTCAAGGGGAAAGCCTTAGATGGGGACTCAGTTTCTGGAAGTGTGAGAGTCCCACTGTCTAAGACTCCAAGGCTGTAGTGAGGCTGCCCCAGCAACTACAGCATAGATCTGGGAGGGACCGGACTGCTTTCCTAACAGGCCATGGGTGCTGCTGGCCTAAGCATGGCACGCTGAACGTCAGAGGCCTGGAGAAGTGGCTCCCGTCGGTGTGGCATGGCCGGCAGCGCTAAGTCACCTAGTTGGTGGGAAAGAGGACATTTTCCCCAGACTCAGTCTTCTCATTCATCTTTTGTGTCTGTAGTGCTTCCCCCCCTCCCCCCCGAGACAGGGTTTCTCTGTGGCTTTGGAGCCTGTCCTGGAACTCACTCTGTAGACCAGGCTGGCCTCGAACTCACAGAGATCCGCCTGCCTCTGCCTCCCGAGTGCTGGGATTAAAGGCATGAGCCACCAACGCCCGGCGTCTGTAGTGCTTTTTAAGGACAGAAATATGGCAGCATCTTTCAGCATCTACAGCTGAAGGGAGCAGAGCCTCCTAACCGTAGGGAGATGGCAGAGGTAGAGGGTGACCGGCCTTGTGGGCAGTGGGCAGTGCTACCATGTCCTTGTGCTGGAATGTAAGCTCCATGTGGTCATATTTCCTAAAATTTCAAAATAAATCAGAATTTGGATTTTTACATTAAATCTTTAGATTTTTAAAACCTTCAAAATGTTGACAACTTTATCTGCTTATTTTTAAAATGCTGTGAGACAAAGGAGCCCTTGAAGGGGCTAGACATGTTATACATTTTATTTTGGAGATATATACGTGAATATTTATATGTAAAAAATCCATCAGTCTGTATGATTGAAATTTGTACAATTACCTTCTTTCAAGTCATGCACAGTTAAAAAACAAAATCAAAACCCAAACATCTGCATAGGCATGAAAACATGGTCACTCTTGTCTTTGGGGACAAGGCAGGGAAGGGATAGGTGGGCCTTTTCTTTGTTTCTAGTACTTTGCCTTCTTAGAAAGGTAGAGAGTGAATGAGGCATAGTGGCCCACAGACTTCCAGCATCCAGCAAGCTGAGGCAGGAGAATTGCGAATCTGAGGCCAGATGGCTACATAATGACCAGAATGGGCTGGGTAGATGGCTCAGTGGGTGAAGGTGCCAGCCACTCAAGCTTATGGCCCCAGTTTGATCTAAGCCTGGAGACCACATAAAACCACTGGCTGTAGTGGCCCATGTCTGTAATTTCATCACTCCTACAGCAAGAAAGGAGACAGAGACAGAATTGTCTAGAAGCTTGTAGGCTAGCTAACCTGGAGTACACACAGCATCACACACAAGAGAGACCCTGCCGAAAACAAGCTGAAGGGGAGAACTGACTCCTGCAAGTTGTGCTCTGATCCCCTTACACATGTGTGTGTCCCCAAATATATATATAATTAAAATAAGTAAATAAAAACAAATGAAACAAAAGTGTAAGCTGGAGCACATGGGGGGTGTCAACATCTGATTCACTTTCATGGTATATAGGTGGCCCCCTTTGTTAGTTTCTGTATGTTTGGAAATATGTCACAATTAACATTGCAATTTTGTCTTGTTTATTTTTTGCTGTTGTTTGTTTTTTCAAGACAGGGTTTCTCTATGTAATAGCCTTGGCTGTCCTAGAATACATTATAAAGAACAGACTGCCTTTCAACTCACAGAGATCTGCCTGCCTCTGCCTCTCAAGTGCTGGGATTAAAGGTATGCACCATGATGCCTACTTAAACACTGTAATATTAAAAGAAAAAATACTTGTGAAGACATGAGCCCAACCCACTCCTGGGAGGCTACTGAGCCAAGCTCTTGGCTCCCTCCTGACTGTGATGCTGTTTAGGGCGGCACACGGCTACCAAGTCCCAGGTCTCCTCCATTTTCAGTAAACACCTGCTCCCTCTGTGGTATGGGTATGTCCCGAGGTCACCTTCCCGGTTCATCCCAGCATCCCATGTGACTTTCACCACCACAAGTGGCATTCTCGGTGCAACTCAGCTACAGTCTAGGGAATTGGAAGACACTGTGATGGATCTATGATTTAGGATCACTGGAGAATGGCTTCCCTTTCTGTCCCCGAGAGCAATAAATTCTTGTAGCTAAACTCACTGTAGCTCTAAGATCTGACACCCTCACACAGCCATGCATGCAGGCCTAACACCACTGCACATGAAATAAAAAAATAAAAAAATAAACCCGCTGAATAGAAGCCCGAGTGCAGGCCCATAGGTGGGTTAGTCTCTCAGACTCAGTCTTCTGGTCTAGCAAATAGGAGTGATCACAATGTTTACATGTTTGGCTTACCATGAAGATTTGAGTTTGCTCTGGAACTGGTGCACGTGTTCAATAACCATTAGCTATTACTAAGTAGATCCTACTAGTTGATTTTACTTATAATATCTAACTTATATGATGGGTTAAGTCTGAGGCAACAATGAGGGCAACCACAATGAAATCTGACCTGCAAGCCTCAAGAAGAAAATATTTCAACTCTCATTCAAGTAGCCAAGGTGATCAAATGTCAAAACTGCTTCAAAAGTGTTGAGACATAGCAGGGTATGGTGGTGGACACTTTTAATCCCAACAGAGGCAGGAGGATCTGAGCACAAGGCCAGCCTGGTCTACGGAGCGAGTTCCAGGACAGCCAGGGCTACACAGAGAAATCCTGTGTCAAAAAAACAACCAACAAACAACCCTGCTGAGATATTTTAAATCAGCTTCCAACCTGTAAGGAACTGCCTACTTTTAGCTTTGGAAAGACCTGTGAGCGCTGGGTCAAACCTAAGAAGAGAGAGACAGCTGGGGCAGGTTCCTGTTCTATCCTGTTTCCCTCCAGCTCCGGGCCTAGGTCCCTGCCTGTCCCTTTGGCCCCTTTACCAGGAAGCCTGTTTGTTGACAGAACTGTCATGTGGGATGAGATGCGTCAGGTAATCATCTGGGAGGGCGCCCCCTGGTGGCCGGTGGTTTTAACCATGACTAATAAAGCTGTAAATAAAGAAAGGATGAACACAGATCCCAGAAAATACACTCTCCAAAGGCACAGGATTTCAATTACTCTTTAGTTGTTCTTTGTCTTTTAAGCTTAAAAGATACACCTTTGAGACAAAGTCCCAAACATCCTAGGCTGGCCTTGAACTTATTAAGCAGTCAAGGGTGACCTTGACCTTCCCACCTCCTGAGGGTCATGGTTACAGGTGTGACCCACTCTGCCAAATTCATGCAGTATCAGGTACTGAGTCCAGGGTTCTGTGCATGCTAGATACTCACTCTACCAGCTAAGCTACAGCCTCAGCCCTACTTCATTTTTTAAACTATGCTTCTTAAATTCTTTCCAATCATAAAGCCTCTTTAACTGAGAAAATCCTGTGCCTGGGTGAGCATCGAGAGGGGACCTGTATTGAATTCCTCCTTTTCCCACTTCTGCTGCTCTTCTGGGGCCATCTCACTCTTGGGTTTATTGAGGAGACTCACGGTGGAGGTTTCGATTGCAGATCACTCCTCTGTAGCCTCTGTAGCTGCCGTAGCCTCCAGAGAAGATGGAGCAGAGCACTGCAATTCTTAAGACAACAGTGTGCCAAATCGGAGCTGATTTAACTGGTGCCTGTGCTAACGGGCAATGTGACATATTGTATTCAGAACCAAGACTGCAGTGAAATCCCATGACGAAACACAGTCAAACGCTGCCACAAATGCCTCAGATTCATCACATTTGAATTTTAAAACCTTCATTAGGTTTGATTTTGAATTAGTTTTTGGTTACTGTTTGCTCAGAACCCTTTTCCTGTTGTCACTTCTGTCCATGTGGCCCCTCCACAGCACTTTCAGGTGAACTGGAAACCACAGTTTAATAAGTTTTATGTAGTATTTTTTTTGCCGTGCCCCCCCCCCCCCCCCCGCTTTTGAGACAGAGGGTCTCATAGCCCTGGCTGGATTGGAACTCACTATGTAACTAGACCAGGCTGGCCCTGAACTTACCGAAATCTACCTGCTTCTGCCTCCCTGGCGTGGGGATTAAAGGTCTGTGCCTAGAAGAAGCTGCAAGTGGTGAGCCACCCGACCTGGGTGCTCGGCCTCGAACTTAGGTCCTGTGGAAGAGCAGTGTGAATGAGAATCCCTGAAAAGGAGCTGTGTCTGCAAAGGTCAATTGGCTGGTTAGAACTTCAGAAACGTGAAAAGGTTAGGATGTTACAGATGCAGGGCTAATCACAATTTATTTGGGCTATGCTTAGCCCCTTAAATAGCCATTCTTTGTCCACCCCTGTGTCAGACCTAATATCCCATGACTAACAGACAAAGTCAAACTCAAGACCCAGTGAGTAATAAATAAGAACTTTTAGAATCCCGAGGCATTTGCTGTGGTCTACCTGGCATGACCTAGACGTTAACTTATCCTTTTTTACCTACCTCAGGTTCTGTTGTATTAATGTCTGATCTCTGACCCTCTGCCATAAAGCTTGCTCCTCTGGACCACAGCAGTAGCAATGGGCTCTCTGGTCTACCTGCCCCTGGGCTTGCTTTCCTGCAATGTTTCGTGAGCTCTGATGCCAAAGATACTGGTTTGCGTGCGAGCCACACACACACACACACACACACACACACACACACACACACACACACACACCTTTTCTTTATATACAGATGGTAACCAGTTTTTAAATGCTGCTATAAAAAACGTAAAGCCTGAGGTCAAACAAAACCCTTTTGCACCTAATGTTATAAATCATGTGCCATATGACCCACTTGATGGAAAATTCCAAGCCTGCCTGTGCTGGTGGCCCAACCCCCAGTGGAGTGCTGAGACCAGCATTCCCTGAGAGCAGTTTCCATTTCTTGCCCTTCACCAAGGGCAGGCAAGCCCAAACGCAAGCAGACACCACAGGCATGGGCAGAGCTTGCTGACACTACTGAAGCTTTGGGCTGGGCTAGGCTGGGCTGGGCTGGGCTGGGCTGGGCTAGCTGCTGCCTCTGCAATGTGTAAGCCGTCATGCTTCTTCATGTTGAGAGAAGACTCATGGCTCAGGGGCTTTCAGAACCTTCTGAGTTTGACTGCATTGCTAACTCACCTGAATCCTTTTGCTTCTACATAGCCAGGTGCAAACAGGGTGGCTCACTTTCCTTGCTGGTCAGCATGTATGAGGCCTGTGGGACAGAGCAGATCATGAAAAGGTGAATTCTGTAAAGAAATTGCACACACCCACAAAAGCGTGCACGTGCATGCACACACACACACACACACACACACACACACACACACACACACACCACAACACTTGTGCAGAGGTCAGAGGACAACTTGTAGGGGTGACATCTTTCCTTCTGCCACGTAGGTTCTGGAGATTGACCTCAAATCATCAGACTTGGTGGCAACTGCCGTTACCTGCTGAGCATCTTGGAGGCTCCTCTCCCACCTTCTTTAAAGAGTAGTTTCCAATTGTGTTTCCTCAGTGATGCAGGACAGGTGCTTTTTGTCCTTGGGAGACTAACAAGCAGTGTCTCCAGAGCCACATCACGACACTCTCTCTTTGCTTCCCACTCGACATTGGCATTCTGAAATACAAGAGGGTAAAAATGACCTCATTCTGAGATTCACCTTGAGTTTCTTCTGACTGGTGCACTGTGAATCTTACTTTCAAAATTCAAGTGGTGACACCTCATTTTCCTTTCCTTTAATTTCAAGTCATCTTAGGGTGAGCCTTTATCCTGTAGGCCGGCAGAAAAATTATACTGGTAGTGGAAGGGCAGGTGAGGCCAGTTCACTTTCCCTGGAGATGGATGGGAATCCAGAATAGCTGCCCTCCTCCTGAGACCACAGCCTATGACCTGAATGTCCCTTCAGGACAGGAGGCTTGTGGGCAACTCCTTTGTGAACTTAGGCCTGGATTCTTAGCTGAAGCTAGGACTCAGGCTGAGGCCCCACCCTTCTCAGAGACACCACAGAGCCTCTGAACAGAAGCCTGCTGTCCCAGTGAAGGGACCAGCTCCCCATTTCGGCATCCATGACAGTAACACGTATTTGCCATGACCTTGCCTTGGTCACTAAGAGGTCTGATGCCTGCCTTGTGGCAAGGAACCAATCAGAAGTTAGCTGGTGGCACTATGCTTTACGGCTCTGGGTGTGCTTTATGGACAAGTGCACAGCAATGACACGCAGAGCATAGCAACCACCCTGGGAGGGCCTATGGCCCATAACAACCAGTTGGCCAATCAACACAGGTCAAGCCCTCCAAGCCTGGAGGCACACCAATCCTGAGCCTGTAGATTGTAGAGCCCTACAAGATCTCTATGCAGCCCCTTCAAGCTGTCTTTGCTAGCCATCCGCCATGGCGGGTGGATGAAAGACCCGAGCTAACATGCGGTTAGCTCGTTAAACAACAATAAAGCCTCATGCAGTTTGCATAAAGCTTTTGACTCCGCCTGGTGATTGGGGTGACCTCGGTCCTGGGCTGAGACCCCGGAGGCCTAAGTTTTTCCGGGGGTCTAACATTTGGGGGTGCGTCCTGGATTTGCGACCACCCCTCACCTGAGTGGATTCGATTTTGGAGGTAAGATGATTTAAGCTCGAAACTTATATGTTCAATGTTATGTCCATTTTTGCTTGTTATATCTCTTGCTGTTTTGTTGGTTTGGTGCCATGACTTGAATTTGATCTGTGCCTGCGCAGGACTCGTATTTGGACTTGTATTTGGATTTGTAATCTGGACCTCCGGGGAGACAGACGTGTTCAGAGACTCTGAAGTCCTGCCCTGGACGAAAGTCCAGGGTCGTTTGATTTGGACATAGGGAAAGCAGACGTGTTCTGGGAACCCTTCGTTCCACCCTGGATGAAAGTCCAAGGGTTGTTTGTAATTTTGGTTTGGGGCACCATTCCTTTGCTGCGCGGTTTGTCCTGTCCGTTGTGTCTGTCCTTGTGTTTTTGCTGTTTGAGTCTGTCTCCATACTAACCATCCTCATCCCCGGATTCCACCTCAACTGTGATCGGCAGATGTGCCCGGAGGATCACAGACTGCTGCCCTGAGGACACCCAGGAAGTACGAACAGAGGCCAAGGACCCTTGGACCCTCCTCAGTTAGCGGCGATTGTAGCTGCCGGGTTGTGCCGCCCGTCTTCCCGGCGCCATTGCCTTATAAGCAGCGCGGGTCTGCCCCAACTGCCATCCTGCCATGGGTCCTGGTTGCTGCAGGAGTTTCCCTTCTCTAAGGGAACATGGCTGCAAGGCTGCCATCTGCCAGGCTGCCTGGCCTTCTCTGTGCTCCACACACATGGAATTCAGGGAAACCGAGGGGGTCTTCTTCCCACCCCTGCATTGGCTGAGGGTCTGGGATTACCAGCAGCAGAACCTCCCCCCAGGTCTCTTCCCTGAGCACATGGAGCTCAGGCGGGTGAACCATCTGGCCTGATCCAGATGTTCTAAAAAAAAAAAAAAAAACAGCCTTAAAGATATAAAAAAAAAACCCTTAAGAAGGACTTTGATAAGAGTTTTTATGTTGACTGAAAAATGAGAGAAATTTGTCTAAGAATGTCTAAGGAAATCAAAGAAATGAACTAAAGACATATAGAAAGTTATAGGGGGTTAAAGCAAGTCTTAGAAGGTCAGAGGAAAATTGTCAAAGGTCAGAGGAAAGGTTGTTACAAGTCAGAGAAAAATGTAAACTGTTTACTGTTTGTTATGGTTTCTCAGTCTACAAATCGTAAATTTTAAAAATTGGTAATATAAGTTAAAATTTTAACCATATTAAGTTAATTCTGTTTAAAAAGTCTTGTTTATTTCTCAAGTAAATTATGTATAATTTATTTATTGGGAAGAACACATGTGTCACAGAATACCTGGAGAAGTCAGCGGATAACTTGCAGTATTCAATTCTCTCCTTCCACTATGGATGTCCTAGGGATTGAACTCAAGTTCTCAAACCTTTACCCATGGAGCCATTTCACTGTCACAGTACTACAGTTTTTACATATTGATAGGTCAATGGCTTCTGACAAATTCAAAGGGCTCATTTCTACTAGTGAAATTGGAGCTTCTCTTATTGAATGGAAACTTAAAATTTTATCCCTTAGCCGGTCTTGGTGGCTCATGCCTGTAATCTCAACATTTAGAAGGCTGATGCAGGAGGAGCACAGTGGTTTTGAGGTCAGCTTGGGCTACATAGTGTCTAGAGAAAATATATAATATTTCATTTATGTATATGAATATATATTATGCCACATATAATATATATAAAACAGAAAACTCCTTCCACAGTTTACAATAAAAAAATTAGATGAACAGCAGGCTTGGTGGCACACAACTTTAATTCCAGCACTCAGGAGGCAGAGGTGGGCAGATCTTTGTGAGTTCAAGGCCAGCCTGGTCCACAAAGCGAGTTCCAGGACAGGCTCCAAAGCCACAGAGAAACCCTGTCTCGAAAAGAAGTTAAGTTTAAGCAAGCAGCTAAAATGTGTAACTCTATGAAGTTTTAAATTCAGCTGTGCTAAGTTTCAAATATTTTACTGTGCTAAGTTCAAATTAAAAAGTCTTGTTTATTTCTCAAGTAAATTATGTATACTTGTGTTAAAATGTTCTGTTGCCTGGCATAACCTAAGTTCTGTTACAAGCATGTAGCTAAAACAAATGGTGAGGGTCATTTGTTTTGTGCCGGCCACGTGGCACAAAATGACTGGTAGCCATTTTGCTAAAGTTGAAAAAAGATACTTAAACTGCCATCTTGACTAAAGATGACCACATGGAAATTAGAGGTGCCATCTTAGAAACAAGTTTTTCAGTTAAGATTTAAAATGTTAATGCTTCTATATATTATAGAAATACATTAAGGGAATTTCAAATGTTTGTTTTTATTAATGTTTGTACTTAAAGAGCTTCAATTTAGAATTATTTCTAAGCAAAGCCTGACAATGTAAAGTTCTTGTTTTATAAAAGATGCTAATATATTACAAAATGTTACAGTTTATGTTTTCAGAAGTTACGTTTAGGGCGTTGGTGGCACATGCCTTTAATCCCACCACTTGGAGGCAGAGGCGTCTGTCACTTTTTAGTAGATTCGGATAAAATATACCCTTCTCAGATCTCAGAGATATTAATGGCTGTCAGCTTGACAGTCAGATCCACTATAGACTATAGTCAGCATGTTAGCTGATAAAGTAATGACTACTTACTGTTCAGTCATAAGTTCAAGGCTTTAAAGTTTATTTAATATTTTACTAAGTTAAAACCAGGTACAGTCAGGCTAAAAATTAATTACAGAAATAAGGCCTTACCTAGCCACCTGAGCGCTTAAGGCAAGTAACTAAAACAAACAGACAGAACTCTAATGCTTCAGAGACCTGCAGAATATGACATTTAAAATGATATTTTAAAAGTTTGTAATATCAGACAGACTGCCAGATCCTGACAGTGACCCAAAGTCTCCAAAGA